CACAGAGATACAAAGGATTGTTAAAAATACTATAAACAACTCTATTCTAACAAACTAGACAACCTGGAGGAAATGGACACATTCCTAGAAAAATACAATCTTCCCAAAATCACTCAGTAAAATTCTAAAATCTCAATAGGCTGATAACTATGGAAGAAATTGAAACAGCTATCAAAAAGCTTCGAGCAAACAAAAGCCTGGTGCCAGACGGCTTCACAGCGGAGTTTTACCAAACATTCTAAAACCTATCCTCCTCAGACTATTCCAAAAAACTCAAGAGGAAGGAACACTTCCAAACTTCTTCTATGAACCCAGCATCACCCTAATACCAAAAACAGATAAAGACAACACAATGAAAGAGAATTACAGGCCAATATCCCTCATGAACATAGATGCCAAAATCCTCAACCAAATTCTAGCAAATCGGTGCCAGCAGTACATCAGAAAGATCATACACCATGATCAAGTAGGATTTATCCCAGGGATACAAGGATGGTAAAATATTCACAAATCAATAAAAGTGATACATCATATAAACACATTGAGAGATAAAAATCACATAGATCAACTGATGCAGAAAAAGCATTTGACAAAATCCAACACCTTTTCTTGATAAAAACCCTCAGCAAGGTGGGAATAGAAGGATCTTACCTCAACATGATAAAAGCCATATACGACAAACCCACAGCTAACATCATACTCAATGGGAAAAAACTAAAACCGTTTCTCCTAAGATCAGGAATAAGACAGGGATGCCCACTCTCACCACTCCTATCTACAATACATAGTGCTGAAAGTACTAGCCATTGCGATCAGACAAGAAGAAGAAATAAAAGGCATCCAAATTGGAAAAGAAGAAGTAAAACTGTTCTTACTTGCAGATGACATGATAATGTACATAGAAAACCCTAAATACTCCATAAAAATTATTAGACTTAATAAATAAATTCGGCAATGTACCAGGATACAAAATTAACGCCAAGAAATCTATGGCATTTCTATACACCAATAATGAACTTACAGGAAGAGAGACTATATAAGCAATCCTATTTACCATCACACCAAAAAAATTAAGATACCTAGGAATAAACTTAACTATGGAGGTAAAAGACCTATATGCAGAAAACTACAGGACACTGAAAAAAGAGATAGAGGAAGACATAAACAGATGGAAGAACATACCATGTTCATGGGTTGGTAGAATCAACATCATCAAAATGTCCATATTACCCAAAGCAATCTATAGATTCAATGCACTTTCCATTAAAATACCAATGGCATATTTCACAGACCTAGAACAAATTCTCCAAAAATTCATCTGGAATAAAAAAAGACCCCCAATAACTACAGCAATCCTGAGAAAGAAGAAAAAAATAGGTGGTATCTCATACCAGATATCAACCTGTATTACAAAGCCACTGTTCTCAAAACTGCCTGGTACTAGCACGAGAATAGACATATAGATCAATGGAATACAATAGAGAACACGGAAATTGACCCAATTCACTATGCTCAATTAATATTTGACAAAGGAAGCATGAACATACAATGGAGTCAAGACAGTCTCTTCAATAAATGTTGTTAGGAAAATTGGACAGACACATGCAAAAAAAATGAAACTAGACCACCAACTTACACCATACACAAAAATAAACTAAAAATGAATCAAGAACTTAAACATACAACAGGAAACCATAAAAATACTAGAGGAATCTACAGGCAGTGAAATCTCAGACATATGCTGAAGCAGTTTCTTCACTGATATTGCTCCCAGGGCAGTGGAAACTAAAGAGAAAATAAACAAATGGGACTACATCAAAATAAAAAACTTTTTAAAAGCAAAAGAAACCATCAACAAAACAAGAAAGCCCATTATATGGGAGAACATATTTGACAATGATATCAACAATAAGGGTTTAATCTCCAACATTTACAGGGAACTCATACAACTTAACAAAAGGAAGATAAACAACCCAATCAAAAAATGGGCAACTGACCTAAACAGATACTTTCAAAAGAAGACACAAGGAAGGCCAACAGACATATGAAAACCTACTCAAAGTCACTAGTCGTTAGAGAGATGTAAATCAAAACAACAATGTAGTACCATCTCACACCTGTCAGAATGGCAATCATCAACAAATCAACAAACTAACAAATGCTAGTGAGGATATGCAGAAAAAGAAACCCTTATGCCCTGCTGGTGGGAATGCAGATTGGTGCAGCCACTATGGAGAACAGTATGGAATTTCCTCAAAATACTAAAAATGGAACTCCCATTTGGGCCAGTGATCCTACTTTCAGGAATATATCACAAGAAACTAGAAACATGAATCAGAAAGGATATATGCACGCCTATGTTCATAGCAGCACAATTCACCATAGCTAAGATTTGGAAACAGCCTAAGTGCCCATCAGCAGATGAGTGGATTAAAAACTATGGTACATCTACACAATGGAATACTGCACTGCAGTAAAAAAGGAGTTCTTACCATTTGTAACAACATGGATGGAGCTGGAGAGCATTATGCTAAGTGAAATAAGCCAGGCAGAGAAAGATAAATATCACATGATCTCACTCATTTATGGAACATAATGAACAACATAAATTGATGAACAAAATTAGATCCAGAGACAGAGAAACATTGATCAGAATGTCAAACCTCAGGGAAGGTAGGGGGTGATGGGGTAAGGGGTAAGTATTTATAGGCATGCATATAAGCCTAATCAATGGACACAGACAACAGGGGGGTAAGGGAATAAATGGGAGGGGGGGAGGGGGTAATGATGGAATAAGGACACATACGTAATACCTTAATCAATAAAGAAATTAAAAAAAAAAGAATTAAAGGATCAATAATCCCACATCTAAGCATCTGGACATTTAAATGAAAGAATAGGAGAAATAAATTATAAAAGAAATTACATAAGAAAAATATCCAAAACTAAAGGATTAAAGTTTTAAAAATCAGATTTAAACCACCTATCAAATGATCTACATGAGTATAAGGAGAAAAAAACAAAACAAAACACACACGCAAAAAAACTACATCGAGAAACATTATCAAGAAATTTCTGATCAATGGGAATAAGGAGAAGATTTTAAAGCTTCCAGGAAGAAAATCTATCACATGTGAGCAACTGGACATCTGAAGGAAATCAGGCTTCTCAAGAGCAACAATGGCAACAAGAAGCACAGGGTCTTTACAATTGAGAGAAAATTGTTTCCAAACCTGCCAAAGTATCGTCTGTTTTGTTGCTCACTGGCTGGGTGACTTGGCAATTTGGACAGCTTTTCTGTGTGATTTGATGGCAAAGTTGAAAAGTGAAAAGGGGCAAAGGCTGATGCCTACCAGACAGGAGGACAAAAGGAAAGGCCAATTTTTGTTTAATTTTCTTCTTATCCTTTCTCTCTGCAGGGCAAACACAAAATCTGTTGCACAGAATTATCTGTTGTAGAAAATGCTTTAAAACCAGATTTTACATTTCCATGTACCAGAATATGGACATAGCTTTGTGACAGAATCTTCCTTTATAATGATAGTCCTGCAGGGCTCAGCGGAAGGTTAAGTGATATGCATCCTTCCTGCATTCATTCATTCAATAAATGATTACTGAGTGCAGAGGCTACAGCAGTGGATGCTACAGCATTCTGGCGGATTACAAATGTGATCAGGGTGAAACAATATGACTCCTCTGTGTACAAACAAGCCTCAAAACTGTCAGGGGATGTTTGAAGAATCTCAAGGCAATCATGACCATAAGAGATGCCTGATCCAAACGGATTCATTTGCATCAGACCCAGAAGCCCTGTGGAGAAACATTTGAACTTAGTTCCAATTGTACAGATCTAGCGAATGGACTAGCAGGTTCTAGAAGGGGACTGGGAAAAGAGAGAATGGGCATCTGAGAGAGAAAACACATGGGAGAGAAGTAAGAACAGCAGAATGGGTTGGAACAGCAAGGCCTGCTGACTAAAGAGGTGGCGATGCAGGCTACCATGCCAGGTTGTGCACTGCAGGAAGAGGAGGGGCAGGATGGAAAGGAAATAACCATGTCACTTGGGGCCCGACCCTCCCTTGTGGCAAACCCTTCTCGGCATAGGAGCCAACAGCGTTGTTCTGCTAACAGCAAAGAGAAACAGGAGCCACGAAGGTGATGGGGTCAGGAGTCATATAGAGGTTACCAGCAGAATGAGAGTGAGCAAACCAAGGATATCAGATAAACATTAGTCAAGAAAGAGAAAGACTGAAGAGCCTCAAATACCATTTCCACATAGTCACTTAGAAGGAATACCTGGAGGGGGGAGGGAGCAGGGGATTGATGTACTGTCAGAACAAAACATAAACAAAACAAACAAATAAGAAAAGCCGAGCATTTTGCTAATCAAGAGGAAGGGAATCCCTAATCAGTATTATCTGGGGTGCTGCCGGTAAAATCTAGGAAATATCCATTATAGGTCAAAGAGTTAAAACTAGATGTCATAGCTTTATGATGGGTAGGCTAGTTTTAAGAGGCACCGTCCCTCCATACGACCATCACATTTAAAGACACTAAGCTGATAATCATTGATAATCTTTTAAAAAGATCACATAATTGCCGAAACCGATTTGGGTCAGTGGATAGAGCAACGGCCTGCAGACTGAAGGGTCCCGGGTTTGATTCCAGTCAAGAGCATGTGCCTTGGTTATGGGCACATTCCCAGTGGGAGGTGTGCAAGAGGCAGCTGATCGATGTTTCTCTCTCATCGATGTTTCTAACTCTCTGTCCCTCTCTCTTCCTTTCTGTAAAAAAATCAATAAAATATATTTAAAAAAATAAATAAAAAGATCACATAATTGGATTGACAGAGAGGTACAGTAGGAGAGATCTTAGTATAATTTCATTACTAAAAATGAATAGAAGAAAATATTCTTTTCTATAACAGCTATTTGCTAGATCACTTATCTATTATAAATATATAATTAATAACTGGCAAATGATAAGTAGGCATTTCTTACATAGTAATGTGTCACGGTAAATTTTTTGAATTATTAATTTGTACATAGATTCACTTTCAGTCAGTATTTGGGCTGCTTCCAAATTCACTGGTTTTTCTAGCACTGGATTAGAAAGCATAACCTATAAGAAAATAGAAGGGACATAGTTTTTTTAAAGAAAAATTTTTTTCAAAGCAAAAAGAGCAACCAATACATACAACATTCAAGAAGTATTTATTAAATGCCTACAATATATCTATCCAAAGATGAAACAAACACAAGTAGACAGGGTCCCTACTCTCAAAAAACTCTTGTTCTTGTCTTCTTTGTTAATTTTATTTTTCAATTACAGTTGACATTTAATGAAAGCATATCATTGGGTAAGGATTAAAAAAGAAAGAAAAAGAAACTACTATAGATACCAAATTAATCATTTGATGGTGTAGTCTTTCCCAAAGTGTGGTACGTATACCCCCAGGGGTACAGAAAAGTTTGGTGGGGGTACGTGTTGCACTGGAGTTTGGTGGGGATATGCACTGCACCGTGCTTAGCTGCGCCTAATTCTATGTCCTCATGAGTACGAGAGGTACTCAGTGTTACGAAAATTATAGAAGGGGTACACATATGTCAAAAATTTGGGAAACACTGATAGAGGAATAATGAAATGAACATAAGCCTTAATACGTAATTCTGTTTAATTTGTTGTCCACACATACTCTCATGTGTAAATGTAAAGTTTTATTTTTTTCATTTTTAAATATATTTTTATTGTTGCTAATATTATAGATATATTCCCATTTTAAATTTTTATTTTTTAATGGAAATGTTTTAATATTTTCTAATGTTTAGTTCCCTTTATACATAAATCCAATTTAAATTTATGTGATAGGAAGGACTAAGTTATAGGAAGTAACTTGTGACTTGTTTTGATCCTAATGTTTGGCTCATGAATGTACAGTATAAAACCAAGATCAAATTCAATAAATGGTACTAGGAAAGAGAGAAGCATTGATGTGAGGGAGAAACATCCATCTGTTGCTTCCTGTATCACCTCAACCAGGGATTGAACCAGCAACCTAGGTATGTGCCCTGAATAGGAATTGAACCTGAAATTCCACAAGGTATCATGCAGGTCTTTACTTGGACCCTTATATCTCAAAGGCAGCAAAGGCATGAAAAATCCTTCTTTTGCCCAGCCAGTGTGGCTCAATTGGTTGAGCACCAATCCATAAATCAAGAGGGCACTGGTTTGATTCCCAATAGGGGCATGTGCCCAGATCCAGGCTCAGTTCCCTGTGGGGAGCATGCAGGAGGCAACTAATCAATGTTTTTCTCTCATTGATGTTTCTATTTCTCTATCACTCACTCTTCCTCTCTCTCTAAAAATTAGTAAACACATATTTCTAAAAAACTGTACTCATGCTTGAAATTTCTCTGCTGTCCCTTTCTGCCACATCCCTCCTCCTCCTCCTCCTCCTCCTCCTCCTCCTCCTCCTCCTCCTCCTCCTCCTTCTCTTCCTCCTCCTTCTTCTTCCTCTTCTTCTTCTTCTTCTCCTTCTTCTTCTTCTTCTTCTTCTTCTTCTTCTTCTTCTTCTTCTTCTTCTTCTTCTTCTATATTCCTATGAGTGATTCTTCTGCCTTCCTCTTCTATCATTAAGGGTTCACGTGATTACTTTGGGGCCCCCTGCATCATTCAGGATAACCTTCTGATTTCAAGGTCAGTTGATTAGTAACTTTTAATCCATCTGAAAAGTCATTTCACAGCAATACCTAGATTGTTTGAATAACCAGAGAATGGGAGACTAATGGGATTCCTTTAAAATTCTGCCTATTCTATATAAAAAAAAAAAGCCTAATATGCTAAGTGTCCAATCATTCATTCAACTAATCAAAGTGTAATATGCTGCTGATATGCTAAGGCCTCTCAACCACTTGCTATTATGTGCACTGACCACTAGGGGGCTACACCCCAACCAGTAGGTTAGCTTGCTCCTGGAGTCTGGCCAATCAGGACTTAGCAAGACAGGCCAGACATGCCCTGGAGCTCTCCTGCGGTCCCTCCCAGGCTGGCCAAACTCCTATGTCCCTCTTTGGTCCTGATTATGCACCAGTGGGATCCCATGGCCTGGCCTGCACCCTCTTACAATCTGGGATGCCTTGGGGGATGTCAGAGAGCCAGTTTTGGCTCCATCCCGTAGGCCAGGCTGAGGGACCCCACTGGTGCTCAAATTCATGCACCAGGCCTCTAGTGTTAATATATTCACATCTGGACCAGTAGTAACCAAAATTTAATAGTTCTGCTAAACCATGATTGTTTTACCTGTTACCTCAAAGTTAATATTAGCATAAATTGCAAATACTTATTCAATAGGTTAGTATTTAGAATATTATAACATGAAAACTATTTAATACAATGTAGCCAAAATATATAACTAACAGAATATATAACTAACAGATCAAAGTGGGTAATTGTAACTCAAGAGTCATGGAAATGATGGCAATCTTTCACTAATGAAAGCAATAACTTGACATCTGATATTTCAAAAGCAGTAAGAATTTTCTGCTATTTGAGTATTCCTTTTTGGATAACACATTTGAACTACATTTCCAAAAATATTATAATTGCTTAAATCAGGATTCACTGTGGATTGCACTATACCTTTCAAAGTGGGTGGGAAGCAGATGAAACTTATCTACCGGAGCAAGCTTTAGGCCTTTGACTGGAAAGATAATTTTACTCAGAGAGGAACATCTGGTAAAGTTTATTCAATAGTCTTCACATTGACACTGCGCCTAAGACCTTTTCACATAATGTGTACACATGCTACTAAGTCTACTTAATGATTTTTAAGAACTGGAATATAAGGAGTATATTAAAATGCATAAATCAGAAACCCTGCTAGACTGGCAAAAAATAAAAATCCAACTTTTAAATTAGCCATGTGAAGGTATAAAATAACAGACAAAGCTCTGCAGAGGATAAGTTCGAAGATCTGAAGCATCAGTAAACAACTTCACCAGTAAGCACATTTTTTAATATCCAATTAATTAAAGCCCAGAAATTAATTCATTCTGTGGATGGGTGTTGGTAACTAACTTTGTGCTATATATGGAAGTATAAAAAAAATAGGATTATAAAAATTCAGGAGATGATAAGTATATTGGGGTATTAAAATATTTCAAGTAGCACTCTCCCTCCCCTTTTTTTAAATTAGGTTTTCTATTGAATTTTTTTAGAAGAGAGGAAGAGGGATAGAGAGATGGAAACATTGATGATTGATGGGATGCCTCCTGCATGCACCCTACTAGGGATTGAGCCCACAACCCGGACATGTGCTCTGACTGGGAACTGAACTAGTGACCTCTTGGTTCCTGGGTCGACGCTTAACCACCAGCCAGGCAAGTATCACTAGTCACACCAGCCAGGCAAGTATCACTCCTTTGAATAACAATGTGATAATTTTAAATGTCTCACCTATTATTCAAAGGAAAATAATCGTAAATTATGGCCTATACTTATACTGTTCATTACAGTAGTCTCTAGTCACACGTGACAATTTGAACTACTTAAATAAAACAAAAAACTCAGTTCCTCATGACACTAGCCACTTTGCAAGTGGTCAGTAACCACATGTGACTAGTGGCTACTGTATTGGACAGCACGAATCATGGACATCTCCATCCATACAGAAAGTTCTATTGGGCCATGCTGACCTTGAAAGGACTATTAAATAGCTATCAAAATATTAGCTGTGGTAATATGGAAGTTACTTGAGATAAAATGTTAAATGAAAAGGAAATAGGCTATATAACTAATACATGTATGTCATTATTGCAACCATGTAAAAATTCAGGTTCCTTCCTTCCTTCATGTTACTTAGTACCTACTAAATGTCAGCATTGCCCTAGATCTTGGGGTGCGGTGGAGAGGGGGGGGGGGCAGTCAAAGATGAATGAGACCTGTTCCCTGACCTTGAGGAGCTTGTAGTCCAATAAAGGAAGGCAGATAAGGAAATAGTATGTGAATTACAGCATCGTAGAGATCTGATAGAAACTTGCTAGGGACAAAGGAAGTCCCTCAAAATCCAAAGCCATCAATTCCACCAAGGAAAGGGAATCAAGGAAGACATTCCAGAGGAGCACTTACTTGACTTGACTTCATAATATGAGCAGTTGCTAGCCAGACAGACTGAGAAAGAGGAGAAAATGGGTTGTCAGTCAGATAGAGAACAGGCCTGAGCACTTTTTAAGGTCCAACTTAAGTTTGTGACTTTTGAGTTTAGAACTCCAAATGCTTCTAAGTCTGAACGGAACCAAGCACTGGGAGTGAAGGAAGGCATGAAGATGTAATAGGAGTGGGATGGCCCAGTATTTTAAGGCCCAGGTGTGAGGAGAAGTAAATCATTTGTCAGGCAACAGAACTGGGCTTAACCCTTAGTGAATGTGAAACCGAAAGACTTTAAATAGAAAAATAGGAGAAAAGATCAGAAGAAAATACTAATAAGAGTAGAATTAGGGTTTTTCTTTATGATTATCAGCAATTTTCCTTTCCTTCCCACCATCTTAAAAACTTTTGCAACATAGGCATATTTGTTTTATAAATCTGTTTGGAAAAAACAAAACAAAACAACTTCTTCACCTACTGGCTTCCTATGACCTATTTCCATGACAACACTTGTCACTTTGCATTAATGCTTAAAAGTAAGGACAATCGTAAAATTAACTAGCTTTTAATGAGTTATTTTCTTAGACCACACACGGTTCCATGTATTTTACATGTATTAATTAATTTATTAAATCTATGAGGTAGCTACTACCCTGTTTCCCCAAAAATAAGACAGTATCTTATATTAATTTTTGCTCCCAAAGATGCACGAGGTCTTATTTTCAAGGGATGTCTTATTTTTCCATGAAGAAGAATACGGTACATATTTATTGTTAAATGAAAATAAAGGAAATTTATTACCTGTATACGGTATGGTAGTACGGTAGTTGTCAACACAAACCAGACAAACTGTGAATCCTACATTATCAAAAATTTACTCATTTATTTAATGACAATCATGTCATCGTCTTCTGGAACATCATCATAACAATCTAATTCCTGAATTTCCTGGTGAATTTCTTGTGACTCCATTTCTTTCAGAATCAGTGGACCAAATCTCTCATGTTTAGCCTAGGGGGGCCTTATTTTCGGGGGATGCCTTATATTTCACTCAGAAGGAAACCTGTAAGCAGGTCTTATTTTCGGAGGATGTCTTATTTTCAGGGAAACATGGTAACAGATCCATTTTACTTATGAAGAAATTGATATATTCGGAAGTGAAGAAACTTGTCCAATAGTACAAATGAGTATGTGGCAAAAATCTAATCTCAGAGCCCCAAATTTACCTTGTATTACATTACTCAGCAATTCAGAATTTTCACCATTTCATTCTAGTTTGCCCTCCCTCATTCCATTTCGGGACCATTCGGTTTTCTATTCTGAAGGCAGATCCTAGTTTGAAGAGGTAGAAAGGAATATGACCCAGTTTTAATAAAATTCAAAATATCAACCTCAGTTATCTGCATATCATGCTCATTCACTTCCTGAAAGTTTTTGCTCAAATGTCTCCCAGAACATGGCTAGCATACATGGATGTTCAATATACATTTCTAAGGTGAATGAATGAATGAATGAGTGAATGAATGAATAAATGAATGAAAAATAGAATCTTTAAAAAGATTAAATTTTACTTGGTATATAAAGATGACTAGACAGAAAACTATTATTTTGTTTCATTTTAAAAAATAAGAAATGGGAGAAATAAAATTTTTATTATAATCCTACAACTGAGAAGATTCAATTATGCCATACTACTTTATTCTCCAAGTATTTCAGATAATCAAATTCCAGATACAAATGATGAGCTGGATAAAAGTAGTCAAAGCAAATGACATTGTAGGCTTTTACTTTGGCATGGATGAGAAAGGAGGCTCCCTGAGGGTCAAGAATAACACCACGCCAAGGCATGCTGCTAAGGACCATGGATCCAAGAAGTAAAGGCAGCATGCTAGAAACAGGCTTCTTACGGAGGGGAGAAGAAAATCCCTGCTTTAATTGTTCACTGGATGAACAAGCGCAACAGAATTAGACTCATAGACACAGAGGACATTTTGGTGGCTGCCAGATGGGAGGGGGCTGGGGGCTGAGTGGAAAAGATGAAGGGATGAAGAAATACAAATTTGTTGTTACAGAGTACTCATGGGGAAATAAAGTACAGCATAGGGAATATAGTCAATAATATCCTAACAACTACTTATGGCGTCAGAGAGCTAACATTTATCAGATGATCACTTGGTAAGTTTTATAATGTCTAATCACGGGCATATGTACACCTAAAACTAATGTAATATTGTATGCCAACTGTAATTGAACAATAAGAAATATATATATATTTTTTTTTAAAGAAAGCATAGCCGAAGCCGGTTTGGCTCAGTGGATAGAGTGTTGGCCTGTGGACTGAAGGGTCCCAGGTTCGATTCCGGTCTAGGGCATGTACCTTGGTTGCAGGCACATCTCCAGTAGGGGGTGTGCAAGAGGCAGCTGATCGATGTTTCTCTCTCATCGATGTTTCTAACTCTCTGTTCCTCTCTGTTCCTCTCTGTAAAAAATCAATAATATATATATTTAAAAAAAAAAAAGAAGCATATAAAAGAGCAACTGGCTAGCACTGTCAGAAACAAAAGGTAAAACTGAGCACTTTAAGTTTTGGTCACTCGATTCACTTCTCTGAAGAAGGCAGGTTCATGAATGAGAAAATATCTAAAGGCTTTCAATACTATGAAGTAAAATTAGGAACTGAAAGAAAACTTAAGGCTATATTTCTAGAATTAAAACCATCCATGCAGTTCTTTACTTCTTGTATAAAATATGTATTCTTTGGTTGTCAATTTAAAATAATAGTCATTATAATTTAACTCCCGTTTTTATAGTTTTGATATAGAAATGTTATTGATTTAACTAAGCTTACTTGAGTCTTTCAAACATTTAAATATACATTACATGTTTTATTTCTTATATTTTGAATAACTGAGATCATTAAAAGAACTAAAGAGGGCATATATGTTAATCTCTTCTTACCTGGAGGGTGAGTAAGATGCTGCTCAATGTATAGCTTGCTTTCCACTTACGAGGGTTGTCCAAAAAATCTATACAGGGTTGACCAGTATTTTGGTCTACTGTATAAAAATAATACATTAATAGTGATATATATATAATAAAATTATTATTTAAAGATTATAAACCCAATATCTGATAGGCAAAGTTAGAAAGCAAATGATAAAGCAGAAAAATTATGTGCAATGGATATGCCAGTTAATACAGTATAACTATTAAAAGCATGGACTTTCAGCCCTGGCTAGTGTTGCTCAGTTGGGCTTTTTTCAGTGCACTAGAAATTTGCTGTTTCAATTCCTGGTCAAGGCACATGCCAGGGTTGTGGGCTCAGCCAGGTAGGAGTGTGTAGGAGGCAGCCAATTACTGTTTCCCTCTCACATAAAGGCCCCCCCCCCCTCTCTTTCTCTCTCCTCTCAAAACCCAACAAAAGCTTATCCTCAAATGAGGACTCAAAAAAAAAAAAAAAAGAATCTAGTATGTATTAAAACTGTTGTATGTTAAAAGTTAAATTATGATTCAATGGTGAAAGAAAACGTAAAAAATGGTATAAAATGTGTTGTTGCAAAATACTCATTGTCCTTTAAGATCTACTCTTCCTCTCTTCCATTTCCTCTCTGCAATAAGACTATACATGCCCCAATTTCCATTACCCTACACTGTTTAGATGAATACCTGATTGCTCAGACTATTTTCTCCTGCCTCCCCTCTAGCAAGAAGTCCTATGACTAAGTTTTAATCATGGGATATCAACAGAAGTAAAGTATATAACTTCTGGATCATATTTTCTTAAGGAAATTGTTTTGCTTTCTCTTTCCCCCTCTCCAATGGCTGGAAATGGTGATAACCAGTAAATGCTTTAGATCCAGAAACAGAAGTCATAGATTGAGGATGGCAAAATCTCCCTGTCAACTGTGTTCTATTATGTGTTGATTGGAAAGATATACGGAAGCTTGGCCTCTACACTGATATAGTTAATTAACTCAACCTATATTTTTTTAAAAAAAAGAATATAATTAAATATGCAAAACAAAACTATGGAATAACCCGAAGAAATTTAAAATAATTTGATTGTGTTTTGAAAAGAACTTCTAAACTTAAAGATAACTGTAAAAAATATCAAAAGACAAGACTAATAAATATGATCATATAAAAAAAATTCCAGATATAAAAAAAACCCAGCACCAATAAAATTTAAAAATGACAAATGGAGAAAAATATTTGCAACATCTACAACAATGTGATAACATTTTAAATAAGCCAGACAATTCAATAAATCAAAAGCACAATAAAGAGATCTGAATGTTAAAAAATGTTAAACTAAAAAATATTCAAAAGAAGTGCATATTAAAATCACAGATTCTTATTAAATTGTCAAAAAAATATTTCTCCAAAGCTACAATGTCCAGAATTGGAGAGTGGTAAATATGAACTTTATATGTGCTTCCTGGTGGGATTACAAATAACATCAGTGAAAAGCAACTAGGTTGTATGTATCTAAAGACTTAGAACTGGAAACACAGTTTTTGGTGGATGGGGGCTAATAACATTCCTCACCTCCAAGGTCTGTATATAATAAATAGAGTGTTAAAAGATGCAAGTGGAAAGTATCAACTTCATGATACTGAAATGGAGAATGCTGATCAATGCTTTAGTCAAGTTCCACAGAAGCACATCCTGATTTGTACTTAACCCCTCAAAGGGAGGCCTGCCTAGGTTTCCTGCCTGAAGAAACAGATACTGTACCCATTCTAAGGTCCGGCTTATTGGAAGGGAAGTTTTGAGAAAGTGCTGAGCCACACATGCTCAAATCTATCTCAGATCTCCCCAATTAGATAAGTCATTCCTCCTCTTGGGAGGGGTAAGGGAGAGAAAGAACAACCACAAGTTTTCCCATATTTCCTCCTCTTCTTCATTAATACATAAAAACACAACAGAATTTTGTGTATTCATTTTGTATGCTGCAAATTTGTTTATTAGTTCCAACAGTTTCTGAGAGGGGCCTTTATTAATATATATTTTTAATATAAACAATATCAGACCATGTGTAAATGACAGTTTTACTTCTTCCTTTTCAATGTGGATGTCTTTTATTTCTTTTTCTCATATAATTGCTTTGGCTAAACTTTTAATACTATGTTGTATAAAAGTAGTGAAAGTGGGTATCTTTGTCTTGCTCTGAAATTTACTTTGTGTATTTCAATGTAATTTTCCAACCACATTATTGATTTTAAAATTAAAACCTATTTTTAAAAAATAAAACTAAATTTATGATACAGAATTAATTGTGTACATTTGCCATTATTTGCTTAAAATAAACACTGAGAGGACTGGAATTACTGAATTAAATACACTGGGAAGAGATGTTTCTTATATGACCTTGTCCACATATTCCATTCCACAGAGTAGATCTTCTTTGTTCTGTTTAAGAGCAATACATGGAAAGCTTTATAATATTTCACTTAAAAAATGTTCTATATTAATGAATATTGGAATTATTCCTATTTTTCTATTGTTATTGGGAACAAACATCTTTTTAAACAGTCTCTTGCACACTTGTGCTAGTATTTCAATGCAATAATTTATAAAAATATCTAGAGGCCTGGTGCACAAAATTGGTGTGCAGGGAGGAGGGGTGTCCCTCAGCCAGCCTGCACCCTTTTCAATCTGGGACATCCCTCTCACAATACTGGCTCCCAACTGCCCGCCTGCCTGCCTTCCTGATTGCCCCTAATCGCTTCTGATCACCAGCCTGATCACCCCCTAACCACTCCCCTGCCAGCCTATTTGCCACCAACTTTCCTCCTCTGCCAGCCTGGTCACCCCTAATTGTCTTCCCCTGCAGGCTTGATTGCCCCCAACTGCCCTCCCTTGAAGATCTGGTCCCTCCTAATTGCCCTCCCCTGCTGGCCATCTTGTAGTGGCCATCTTGTGTCCACATAGGGGCAGGATCTTTGACCACATGGGGGCAGCCATCTTGTGTGGTCTAGTGATGGTCAATCTACATATTACTCTTTTATTAGATAGGATAGAGGCCTGAGTACTGGTGGGGGCCAGCTGGTTTGCCCTGAAGGGTGTCCCAGATCAGGGTGGGGGTTCCCTTGGGGCATAGGGTGGCCTGAGCGAGAGGCCTGTGGTGGTTTGTAGGCTGGCCATGCCCCCCAATTACCCAAGAGGAGGCCCTGGTATCTGGGATTTATTTATCTTCTCTAATTAAAACTTTGTAGCCTTGAGTGGAGCCAAGCCTCCTGTTTGCTCCATGGCTGCAGCCATTTTTGTTGGGATTTATTTATCTTCTATAATTGAAACTTTGTATCCTTGAATGGAGCCCAAGGCAGGCCAGGGCTGTGAAGCTTGGCTTCCTCCATTGCCGGGGAAACCCAAGCCTCCTGCTCGCTCCATAGCTGCAGCCATCTTGGTTGGGTTAATTTGCTTACTCGCTCTTGATTGGCTGGCTGGTGTGGCTTGTGGGTGTAGTGGAGTGATGGCTAATTTGCATTTTATCTTTTATTAGATAGGATTAGAAACTGTCAAATTGCTTCCTCAAAAGGACACCTGAAGGGCATCATATCAGAGGACACATATTTGCCCACATTTACTAAAATTGTTATTTTAATAGTCTATAAACATAAATAATGAATCACAATTTTATGCATTTTATATGCAGTTTTTATATGCATTTATTCTTACTAGTGAGATGGAACAGATTTTTACATTTTTTGCAATATTTCCTCTAGCAAGTGTTTGTTTATAGTTTTTGCCCATTTTCCTATTGCTTTATGTTTTTTCTTGATTTACATGTATTCTTTATGTTACAGATATTCTATTTTATGTGTTGCAAATATTTTCCCTCACTTTGAAAATCAATATATCTTGTCTCTGTTTATAATGTCATTGGCTGTAGTTTTAAAAAGTTTGTGTGGTTTAGTGTGTCATGCTTTTTCCATGCTTTTGTTCCTATCACATTTAGAAAGGCCTTCTTCACCAGGTACACAAAAAGTTCTATTAAATTTCCTTCTTTTTAGTATTTAAAATTTTTAGGTTTTTTTAAAACAATCAGAAGTAGCAATCTAATGTAATTTTATCTAAAATGTTAATTTATCAGTGTATCATATTTTATAACAAAATTAGCCCAACTAAAATACTGAACAATGTAGACATTAAAAATGATCTTTTGAAGAATGTTCAATAATGCAGCCATAAGCTTATGTAATATTAAGTGGAAAAAATGGTTGTAAAACTTGATATCTAATACCTCAACTATGTGAAAAAATATATAGAGAAAAGGAAATAGATTGAATTAAATGTTGAGAGTAATATCTCTTTGAATTAGGATTCAAAGTGATATTTTTTCTTTTTATGTTTTCTCCAATAAACATGTTTACTTTTATAATCATAACATAGTTGTTATTATATTAAAAAGAAACATTATTAAATACTAATACAGAACAAAGTTCCTGATGATAAAAATCTCATTTTGTCCTTACCATTTGGATGAAAAGGAATGGTTTTAAATTTCACAACTGGAGGGGCGAGATTATATTCTGGTGTAAAAGTTATTGTCAGTCGGAGTAATATTCCTAGAATATAAAAATAAATATTTTTACTAAGGTACTGGTTAACTCTAACCTGATTAACCTGATTAACAATAAAGTTTCTTATTATAGTTTAGCCGCCCAAGTTCCCTTGAGTTTTATTCTTAAGTAAATTGGATCATAGGGTGCATAGACTCCTCAAAATTTAATCCCACTATTTTATCAGCCTGTTTTCTATCCACTAACTCTGTCCCCCTAAAACTTGTCTCATTCACTGTGTATCTCATATTGACTAAACTCACTGTTTCAGATCCTGGTGCACCTTCTCTTTTTATTCTGCCTGAATAAATCTGTTTATTCTGCCTGAATTTCTTCCCCTCCACTCCTTCTAAACCTGGGAAACTCTTATGCATTCTTCTTTTTTTTAAATTGATTTTAGAGAGAGGAAGGGAAAATGAGAGTATGTGTGAGAGAGAAGCATTGATGTGAAAGAGAAACATCAATCAGTTGCATCCAGCCTTGTTGCATCCAGTTACATGTGCCTTGACTGGAGATGGATCCATTGATTTTTAGACAGTGGAAAGGAGGGGAGAGGGGTAAAAGAAAGAAAGAGAAACATGGATGTGAGAGAGACAATCAATTGGTTGCCTCCTCTTGTACCATGACTAGGGCCAGGGATTGAATCTGCAATTGAGATATGTGCCCTTGATTGGGAATTGAACTGAAGAAACTTTGGTCCGATGCTCTAATAATTGAGAAAACTGGCCAGGGCAGAAAGCCATTCTTAACTCTACAAGCAAAATTATCTAATGAATGCCTCTTTAGCATTATGTTTGAAATCCTAATAGCACATGTTGTATTTTAATTATCTACTTTACATATTGTTCTCCCCTATCTTACTCAGCAAATCTAAGTTTATTTATCCACAATTAAAAGAGTGCATGATAACTAAAGTTTATAATAGCCTGGTCTTCTTCAGACTTTGATATGTGGAAATTTTGGGAAGAATCATAGAAAATAAAAATGAGAAATAATTGTGGAATTTTGACGCCAAAAGGAATTTTGATACTATTTTCTGATTTCATGGAAGACTGTTAGAAGATATTTTCAACTTATGCTTTACTAGAGGCCCGGTGCACAAAATTTGTGCACAGGGGTGGGGAGGGGTGTCCCTCAGCCAAGCCTGTACCCTCTCCAATCTGGGACCTCTCAAAGGATGTCTGATTTTCCGTTTAGGCGTAGGGGTGTCAAACTCAATCAGAGAAGGGGCCAAAATCTAAAATCCAGCCTAAATTGCGGGCCGAATGGTTTACTGAACAGTCATAAACTGTCATTGTGATGGAAACGCAGTGGAGCGCAGTGATGACAGCGCGGTGCGGGCCACATTGCAAGGCCTGGCGGGACGGATTTGGCCCGCGAGCCTTGTGTTTGACACATGTGGTCTAGGGGATCGGGCCTAAACGGGCAGTTAGACATCCCTCTCACAATCCAGGACTGCTGGCTCCCAACTGCCCGCCTGCCTGCCTTCCTGATTGCCCCTAACCTTTTCTGCTTGCCAACCTGATCACCCCCTAACCACTCCCATGCCAGCCTGGTTGATGTCTAATTGCTCCCCTGCCAGCCTGTTTGCCCCCAACTTCCCTCCTCTGCCAGCCTAATCACTCCTAACTGCTCTCCCCTGCAGGGTTGATTATCTCCAACTACCCTCCTTGCAGGCCTGGTCCCTCTCAACTGCCCTCCCTTGCAGGTCTGTTGCCTCCCAACTGCCCTCCCCTGCTGGCCATCTTGTGGTGGCCATCTTGTGTCCACACAGGGGCAGGATCTTTGACCACATGGGGGAAGCCATATAGTGTGTTGGAGTGATGGTCAATCTGCATATTACTCTTTTATTAAATAGGATTATGCCTGTTTCTTAAACAATGTAGTAACATTAAGATTTGGCATAAAGAAAAATTCAAACCTTTCTATTTAGGTTGACAAATGGCAAAAATTAAGCCATGCAATGAAAAAATAACATGTGAATACTTTCAAAACTCTAGACAACTTATATAATGCAACCTTCTTTTGCACATAAAGAAGATGGACTAATAATGGCATAAAGGCTTTTTAAAAAGTAGATTGGTTTTTGAAAACACATACCTTGCCAAATTGTATCCTTTAGACCTTCAATTCTAGCTTCCCATGTCATCTGATCTTCACTTACAGGAAAGGCAACAATACCCTTTAATTAAAAAAGAAATCAAAGCAGTAAAAAAGATTAAATATTTATTGCAGCTTTGAAAATCAGTTATCAGGTTACAATGAATTCTAAAAACTTTACATTTTCTTTTCCTGATGAATTTATTTATATGCTGATTTGGGAAGATGTTATATTTTGTGTCATTACCTAGCTGTTAAGGTGGATTCCACACAATAATTAAAAAATAATACTACAAGAACAAACTGTGTCCAGTACTCACAAATGTAAACCTACTTTTGACCCACCCTGTATTTCAGAGAAAACTTATCAATTATGCTGGGAAAGACACCTAAATATACTCAATAAATATTTCTGAGCAACCACATAATTATTCAGTATGTTTGGTGCTACTCTGAATAAACACTGTAAGATATCTCTATTATCTACATTTTACCTAATAATAGACAAACATATAAATTGACCGTACATCTACTATGCCACCAGCCAATCAAGAGTGATATGCAAATTAACCAAAAAAGATGGCCGTTAATTTGCATACACAGGCACCGAGTGACTGGGGCAGGATGCTTGCATTCTGCGGCATCCCGGTCTCTCAGGGCCTTTGGGCAGCGTGGGAAGGCGGGGCTGGAGCAGAAAGAGGGAGCTGGGGGGGAGAGGAGGGCACCTGAGGGGAAAGGGGTTGGGCCGGAGTGGAAAGGAGCTACCAGCAGCCAGGGAAAGGAAAGCCCATTCTAGCACGAAACTTCTTGCATCGGGCTTCTAGTTATCTATAATTACATATCATTTCTCCTTCATGGAATTGTCCTTCCAACAGAGAACCACAAAGTTCAGGTAGAGTGGAAACAATATGAAAATAACTTCATTGGTGTCATTTGGAGCAAAGCCTTCCTCTGTCTTAAAATTATAAGGGAAAGGCATCTATGTGCTGTAACAAGTTAGCAAAAATTGCACCATACACAGGGAGTAGAACACAAGACCCCGAGCAAGAGATTGCTCAGTTGGTTAGAGCATCGGCCAGATACGCCAAGGTTGCTGGCTCGATCTCCTGTCAGGACCCATAAAAATGTACCAATGAATGTACAAATCAATAGAAGAACAAATCAGTCTCTCCCCCACCCCCTTCCTCTGAAATCAATAAACAAACATTTTTAAAAAGGAATCAACCAATGAATGCATCAATAAGTGAAACAACAAATCAGTGTTGCTTCCTCTCTCAAATCAATAAACAAAACAAAACATAAGAGCAATTCTGAAGCTAAAATATTTACTGAACCTTTTTGAGGTGTAGGTTTCTGATAGGTAAAACAAAACACTCCTTGTAGTATTGTGATTAATGAGAGCAACCTTTTACTTGCTAGTCACTTACGACATGATAGACCCTGCTATTCAGGGCTTAAGTCCTCATACCTTACTCAGCACAATGTGCTCAATATTGTTAACTAGTACCATCATTATGAAATAAATTGTGATAGTAAGATAGATTGGTTAAACAGCAGTACTGCAGTGGTGAATTCGTTTGAACTTTATTACTTTATGAGTAAACACAGATGAAGCTGCTTTATACAAGCTCTGCCCCAGGGAAACCCATCCCTCCGGGTCCCCAGCACTCACCTTATACTTGTTCTCTTCCAACTCCCTCAAGTCTCTTTGCAGCAAGTAGTAAGTCCGGCAGCACATGGTGAGGCAGCAGAGCCCGGCACTTGGCCCCAGGCTCCCAAGCTTTCCAAGGCAGGTGTATGAGATTGCGAGTCACCCTCCCACACTGGTTAACTGACGTCGGTCGAGTCACTTGCTTTCTAAAGCTGCAGAACGCCTTGTGCTCCCAAGATAAATGGCTTTTAAGGTGGGCATGTAACAGGGACTTCCTCTTCTCCTTTGACTCTTCCAAACTAAGACTCCCAACGGGCAAACCTGGGCACGCTCTTGAGCACCGTGCCTCACTATAGAGCCAGCCCACGGCCCGGCCTCCAGGCAAACTTGGACTAGCACCAGGGGCAAGCCCGGGTTGTTGGTGCGTGAAGTGGGCCTGAGAGGCATAAGCTTACGGCGGTGGTAGCCTGTTTTTTCTCTTCGCAGGTGCAACTGGGATCAGTTTAGCTGCTAGACGCTAATCGGTTGCCAGGCAATAGGCTCCTTAGGAAAAGTATGGAGAGGGAGGTGGGAGCTTGACCGCCTCTCATCCAATCAGCGACAGGACACAGAACACTATAACCCTCCTCCGGAGCCAATCGGCCAATCGTTTCGTTTCACCTGGAAAGGCCAATGAGATTCGTTGTCAAGGCCCCGCCCCCACCTCGCTGAGTTCATCCAGGTGGACTCTACCTACCTCATTAGTGTATAGGGTCCGGGTGAAGTCCTGAGGTGCAGCCCGTAGAAGCCCTCACTCAAATCCCTCTCCAAATTAATCCTTTCTCATTCTTTGACTATCAGAAACGATCAGGTAATAAGTGACCAGTAGGTACAGGTGTATTCATAACAATATCTTAACATATGGCAAGTTACCATTCTTAATCCGTTAGCATATACTATGTCCTCGAATCCTGCAGTTGCCCTACAAGAAGGCTCCAGAAACAGAGCACTACTAATAATTTCTCAGATTCCCATTTAAAATATATATATATCATTGATTTTTTTTTTTTACAGAGAGGAAGGGAGAAGGATAGAGAGTTAGAAACATCAATCAGCTGCCTCCTGCACACCACCTCCCATTGGGGATGTGCCTGCAACCAAGGTATATGCCCTTGACCCGAATCAAACCTTTCAGTTCGCAGGCCAATGCTCTATCCACTAAGCCAAACCAGTTAGGGCTCAGATCCCCATTTCTTGCCAAAGTTTTGGGTTGTATCCCAGCATATCTACGTTTTCATAGCCTACATAGCCCTGAAGAAGTTACTTAGCCTCCTGTACTTATGTTTTCTCATCTATTAATATGCAGCCTATACCTATCTCTCAGGATTATTATGAGGATTAAAAAAATAAGGCTGCCAAGCACTCAATCATTGCCAAGAGTAAGTGATAGTGTACACCAACACTTACCGCGTGCTGGGCACACTGTTCTAAACATTTAACAGGCATTAATTTGATTCTCAATCCTAATTTTTACAATAAGGGAAACTGAGGCACAGAGATGCCACATAATTTGCCTTAGGTCACACAGCTGGAATGCAGTAGAGCCAGGATGCAAACTCCCCAGGACATGTAGTTCCAGAGACCATGTTTTTAACCACTAGGCGGCCCTGCCACACAAAGACCTTAATTTGGAGCTATCTAACCTTCTTTAATAAGGTATTGCTGCTCTCAATAGTTTTCTTTGTGCATCGCTTGCTTTTTTTAAAAAAGTATTTTTGGTGTATTTATTTTTGGCTGCATTTCTACCTGCTAATTTTCAGAGTCCCCTTTCAACTAAAATACTAATATAAACCCAAGAAAGCTGGACAACTGCTGTATAAAATAGTGCCTGGCACAGAATAAAGGCCCAACTAAATGTGCATTATGTTTTGTCTTTTAGATTATAAATTTATTAACAAATCCGCCTGACTTCTGTAACTTATTAATATAATTAGAGCACTCTGTATGTGGTTCAAAAATATCAACTACTAAATATTTTGATATTAACTTTTATTACTTTTTGTAACTTCAAGGGGAGAGTAGATTAATTTAAGTCCTACTAGATGCCTTTTGGGGCTTTTCCTCACAGTCTTTTCCCCTAACAATAGGCCTAGAGCACTTGTGTCAAACACAAGGCCCGCGGGCCAAATCCGTCCCGCCAGGCCTTGCAATGTGGCCCGCACCGCGCTGTCATCACTGCACTCCGCTGCGTTTCCATCACAATGACAGTTTATGACTGTTCAGTAAACCATTCGGCCCGCGATTTAGGCTGGATTTTAGATTTTGGCCCCTTCTCTGATTGAGTTCGACACCCCTAGCCTAGAGGATTGAAAAGAGAAAGGTTGCATTGCATTTCTTATGGTAGGGAGCATTCTGAGATGACCTCTGTGATCTCCAGCCCTTGCATAATCTTCAGAACAAATGATGGGTTTGGGGTGAGCCTGACCTAATCAGATGAGCCTGAAATGAGACCGGGCTCTTCCTGAAGTCAGGAACTCACTAAAGTGTGAAAAGGATTTCATGTGAGGGGGATGCTCTGTTGCTCCCTTTGCAAATGAAGGGGGCCACATGGCAAGGTGGGTGGGCAGGTTCTTAGAGGTGAGAGTGGCGGCTGGCTGACAGCCAGCAGGAGAATCAGGGCCTCAGTGTTATAGCAATAAGCAACTGAATTCTGCCACAACCACGAGAGCTTGGCGGAGAACCTGAACTCCAGTTCAGAATACAACCTAGCCATCACCTACTGAGGCCTGGGCAGAACATTCAGTCATGCTGGATCCATATTGTTTTGAAATAGTAAGTTTGTGGCATTCTGTTAGTTAGCAATAACTACCTAATACAACTTCTGCCTAGAATGAGCAGCTACTGACCAAGACAAAACATGTGGCAAAAGGTCAATCACTTGCTGAAACCAGTTTTGCTCAGTGGTAGAGCGTCGGTCTGCGGACTGAAAGGTCCCAGGTTCGATTCCAGTCAAGAGCATGTACCTTGGTTGCGGGCACATCCCCAGTAGGGGGTGTGCAGGAAGCAGCTGATTGATGATTCTCTCTCATTGATGTTTCTAACTCTCTATTCCTCTCTCTTCCTCTCTGTAAAAAATCAATAAAATATATTTAAAAAAAAAAAAAAAGGTCAGTGATTTAGCATGAAAAGCAGTTGAATCCAGTTAGTTGAATCCAGTTAGTAGACATTAACATATGGCTTTACACGGGATTAGGGGACAGGTTCGCGGACAAGATAGGCAGGGCATCCTGGAAAATGAAATCTGAACTAAGGCTCATGGACAAATTTCCATTATCCTAGATGAGCAACTGAAAGTGTACTGGTTTAACATGGGTGAAGTTACGAAGGCCATCTCTCCAGTTCCCACCACCAAGCATACCCCTCCCCCGTCTTTCTTAAAAACAATCTTTCCCCTCAGGACTCGAACAGATGTTTTCATTTTACTTAAACTCCAAGACTGTTTTCCTCATCCACTAGGAATATGTACCAGTACAAAGTGTTAACCTCGTTTGGATTTGAACCCCCGTCCTCAAGAGCAAAAGAGGGCTGAGGATCGCCAAATGCCAGCTCAGCTGTGAGACGTGTTTTAAATCATATTTTGACGTATGTTACGCTGTTAACTAGAAAATGAAGTGCAGCACACATGCTTCTAGTAACTCCGGTTTCAAATCATATGATCCCTCCTTTGTCTTGAAGACCTTTTGATGTGTGTTCCCATATTGAGTTTCTCTGCTTTTAATAATCTTATGCTCCTTCCTCAATATAAATGTCAGGAAAAATTCTGAATGCTAATCTTCAAAGATCAAACAGGAAGAAAGAGGTGGGCAGCCTAGTTCAGTGACGTGAATTCCTGAAATTTCTCATTTAAAGTTTTTTTTTTTATTTTCTCTTATAAAAGCCTGGGCTCCAAGAAATGCTTCATTGCCCTTTGTGAAGTTGAAGTGTAGCCTCGCCCACCCCCAATTTCAGAATTGTGTAAATTACAAAATAATTTGGTCTCTCCCTGCAAGGTACCTGAGATTCAGGGGCCTGTGATCAGTGTTTACATGCATATTTGCGTCTACCTAACAGACAGGGCCTCTGAATCCATACACCCTGGCTTTTATTGCATCTTCTTGGCTTTGGCCATGGGGGACCAAGAGTCCAGGTTTGCCTGGGTGCTTTCCTGGGATAAAAGACTTTCGTTGTTAAAATTGGGATAGTCCCTGGCACACTGGCACAGTCCATCCCTCTAGCTTGAGCATCGAGGACCCTTTCAAGGTGGGAATTGTATAGATAATTTGGCAAAAGCTGCTTCTTTGTTTTTGGATCTTGATGCTTAAAGGAACCTAGTTTGTTCTCTATTGCAGGCTCTGGTTCCCATCCCCCATAATCAAGGTTCTGAAAAATAATGCTCAGAATTCCTTTAGGAGAGGATCTGAGGGATGAGAAAATGCAAAGCCTGCCTTGGTACTTTACATATTTTAGGAGAATCAGGTCTCCTTTCATTGCATTCCTCACTTGGGAACAAAAATCATTGAAATATATGCATTTGATAATTTCTAAGTACAACTGAGACCGTTAAGAGTGTGAGGTTCATCAGTTTATAATGTTCTTTATTATCCATAAATGAGTGAGGTCATGTGGTGTTTCTCTTTCATTGACTGGCTTATTTCACTCAGCATGACATTCTCCAATTCCATCCAGGTTGCTGCAAATGATGAGAATTCCCTTTTTTTTTATGGCAGCATAGTATTCCATTGTGTAGATATACCATAAACTGATGAACCAAAAGATAGATATAGAGACAGTAAAGCAACAAGCATACGTCAAATTACAGCGGGGAGTGTAGGGAGATCTGGGGGAGATAAGAGATCAACTAAAGTACTTGTATATATGCATATAAGTACAACCAATGGACACAAAACTCTGGGGAGGGTGGATATGTATGGGGGGGGCAATGGTAAAATATGTACACAGATAATAAATTAATAAAAAAATAAAATTTAAAAAAAAGAGTGTGAGAGTGTGGGAGGGGGAACTGCTTAAAAGGTATCATTATAATAGGCTTCCTTCACATATACCGGTTT